TCCTTTACATACTGGCTGGTGAGACATTTAACTTCTAGGCTGATAAACTAGCCCAAGGAAGAATTCTAATAGCATGTTAGAGCAAGAAAGCATTCATTATCTCACCCACCCCCTGCATTTTACCCAAGAGCAAGCTGAAAGTGAGGGGAAGGAATGTCTCCTATCGCAGGCAGCTAGATTACTTTGCATATTGGATTCCTTTCTTTTGGCCCTGGCTGGTGGCCATGACCCTTACTGTGGCTCCTTAGATGGACTCAGGTAACTTTGCCCCCAACTTGATCATGGATGTGAACTGGGTCCTCAATGACCAGAGCCTATCTTCTTATCCCCCCCTTCCCCAACTAGCTCTGTGTTCTGCAAAGACATGGGGTTTGATTTACATCTGCCTTCCTTTCCCGCCCCTCTGCACTGCAATCCAATCTCCTGCTAGCTCTTGCTCTCTCTTTTACCCTCCTCAAGCCCTCTGGGAGGGTTTGTCTTCCGACCAGACTGCTGAGCTTCTAGAAAGTTCCAGGCTAAGGGAGAAGGCACAGTCGTTCCAGCTGGAGCGCAAACGGGAGCCAAACTGGCTGGAGGCCCGACAGGCTGAGTTGATAATAAAGCTATGTCTCTGAGGTAGTGCAGCCAACAGAACACAGGCCAGATGACCCCAGAAAGGGAGACAGGTCCAGCTGACAGCTTCCATTTCAGGGAGAGATGCAGGCACGTAGCACACGTCAGGTGAAGCAATTCAGGTTGAGGGTCACACACACACACACACACACACACACACACAAGCATGCATGGTCAAAATAGGAAGGGAAATTGAGGCCCAGAGGCAAACAGCAATAGCTCATCTTTATGCGGACTTCTGCCATAAGCCCATTTTCAAGCCTCTGTCTTTCTTGCCAGTTAGCTGACAAGCTGAGGTACTTAAAATACCTGTCCCAAGCCAATTGGCTTTGTCTGTCTCTGAAGACTGAGATAAACCCTTTCTTGGCTCTGCTACTATAGTAAGCAGCATGCAGTTTTAAGCTTCTAAGGCCATCTGATCCTTCCATCAGTGTCTGTACACGTGGAAGGAAGGTGGAGAAGGCATGGACGCCCCCAGACCTGTCCTAGGTGAAAGTGAGGGGCAGGCCAATAAACTGATGCAGAACACTTGTGGGCATTTTTGTTTTGTTGGATCATAGTATTTTTTTTTCCCTGAGTGTGAAAGTTTATTTGTGTTCAGGATATAAAATATGGAACATATATGGAGAAAAATTCATCTGTCTCCTGACACTGAGCTATTAGATAGACTTGAATAGGGTCACCATGTTTATAGGTCAGAATAGTTGAATATGAGTTCATAATATATCAGTGTACTCCAAACATAATATATCAGATTACTCCCAAACATTTTTCATCCCATTAAAATACATGTTTCAAATCATAATGCATATGGAATTTCATGTCCATTTTTTATAGACATTATTATGTAAGTAAGTATTTCCCCCATGCAATTAAACTTTCTCTAAACAGCATTTTTGATAGTTACATAACAGCCCATCATTTGGGAGTATCAAGGACATTTCCGCAGTCTCAGGCTGAGCCGCTCTAGCTCTGTGCCCCATGGCCCAGGGAGAGAAGGAACCTTGTTTCTGGCACCGGCTTGGCCCTGGACTGGGCTGGGACCAGCTCCCCGCAGAGCTGGGGAGAGCTCTGGTGAAAGGGCCGGAAGACAGCTGGCCTCTGTCTCTCCTTAGGACATGTGCGGAGTGCAGACAGAGGACAGGGAATGGAAAAGTTTGCCCCTGAGAGGCTGCCCAGAGTGGGGGAAAGGACGTGCTTACTGCCAGGGGCTAAAATAGGGTACCAGAGGGGTGTCCAACTCCAGTAAGAGACTTCTATCCAGAAATGACTGTTTGAAGTGTCCAAGTATTCCAGCAGCTTACTCACCTCTTCTTTGGGGTACCTGGACAGGATTAGCCTTAGAAGCTAATCTTCTTCCCCAAGTGTTCTTTCCTCCTTAGGCTCTCCTATGATCAGCCTTTCTTGGGGCAATGGTGGGAGACAAAGACTCCCCCTCTGCACCATATACTTGCCCTGATGTCAGCTGGTTTCTTAGTGGAGATGAGAGGCTGGGGGTGCTTGTGAGAGAGTGGAAAAGGGCCCTCTCTGGCCCTGGCCCTGACCATTGGACAATAAGATTGTCACATAGTCTCTTTGAGCCTCAGCTTTCTCATCTGTGAAATGGGAAGTTGGTTGAGATTCAATAGGCTCTGATACGGAAATAAAGTAAAGTACCTGACACAAAATAGGCCCTCCGTCACTAAATAAATCTTGGTACTTTATGACTTCATCATGTTCCTGTGCCTCCCTCCATCTTAGTTCACCAAGTGTAGGAAGGAAAGGCCTAGCAATCATGTTGATGTAAATATTGAACATTTGCTATTTACTCCTCATTCATTGGTTCAGGAAGTATTTATCAAAGACTTGCTAGGTGCTTGGAATATTATTGTTCTAAGTTCTAAGCTGAGATCAAAAGCCATTTTCTGCCCTCGTGGCATTACAACGAACAGGGAGGCAGACACCAAATAATAACTAAGTGGAAAACAAATACGTAGCATGTCAAGTGGAAATAAGTGCTCTGTGGAAGAATATAGCAGGAGAAGGTGAGGGACAGTGTAGGGGAAGTGGGCAGGGGAGGCTATTCTAAATAGGGCATGTGTGCCAGCCAGTACTTGAGAACCCGATACTCAGAAAGAACATTCAATAAAGCATGGCTGCATAGGACGAAGGCATCTATAGGTACCAGGTAAGGTGACAATCCTCTTAGGTAGCAGATAACAAGTGAGAAATGGACAGTGGGTGGGATGCAAAGGTTTCAGAAAACTCCTGGCCCCATCCTGTGTTCTTCACTGTGTTGCGCTTTGCCTGCTGTGCAGACTGGAGATGGAGGCTGGTAGGGGGTTTCTGGAGCTCAAGCCACGAGCCGTGGGTGCTCACGGAGTCCTGTTTGGATGGAACTGTCAAGAATCAGTTCATTTCAGTAGATACTACCTCTTTTTATATATTGGCCTAGTTATCTTACTGCCTTTCTTGGAGCTGGGAGAGTTCAGGAAGCCCACTTAGAACCTTGGTTTTGGGGGATAGAGCCTTAGGAGAGGGTCTGAAGCACAAGACAGATACGCCTCCCCAGAAGGACTAGCAGTCTATGGATGCTCTTGTCCAAGCCTTGTTTCTACTTGTGGGGGCATTGTGAATCCTCTGAACAGTGTCCTTTAAGCTGGGCATAGAGCTTGTGACCACGGTTTACTCAGACAAAGCACAGATAGCACGCATCTCCCATGAGACAGCTGGGACATGCCATGCCTCAGTGTTGAATGTTTGCATAGGCACAGACTCAGAGAGCGAGGGACACATAGTTTATCTGCTTATGCTCTTTTTTCTTAGTGACTTCTGTCCTGTTGCAGAGCCCCAGGGGCTCAGTTCTGTCTTCATGGCTCACTCCAGGGGACAAGCTCGCGCCAGAGGTGGTGTGATTAGGGACTCCTGGATTGTGACTGTTTCCCTCTTGGATGTCCACGTGGGCCTCGATCTTCATGGAGAAGGCCCTCTCGCCTCAGCTGTATGGCTACAGACTCCCTCTGCCCTGGCCTGGGGGCTCATTACCTACAGAGCCAGCCCTCTTTCACTGGGGACTTCAGGCTTCTTTCATCCGGGTAGGGAGAGACTGAACTTGTGAAGCATCCTCGTATCCCAGGTGTCAATATTGGGAGGCATTTGAGAATACTTGGCCTAGTAGCAAGAAGCTACACTGCATCCAAAAGGCATGTGGTTAGAGGTCACCAGCTGCTCCATGGGAGAAGGACGGGTAATCTCCTCTCCTTCAATTAAGTGCCACTGAAAAGCTCCCCTGAAGGGTCTGCTATGGGTTGATTTGACTCTACATTATAACGACAACAACAACAACAGTGCCACTGGAATGTCAGCTCCCTGAGGGCAGGGACCTCTTCGTATTCCTTATTATATCTCTGGTGAACTCTGGTAGTGCAGACCACCAAGACTTGCTCTGCTAACCAGTAGACCACACCTCTCTGATAGTTCAGATCCATAACACAGGCAATCTCCTGTGCAATTTACACTCTTGGAAACATATAGGGTCAATAGGAAGTGGGTTCAAACTCAGTGACTATGAGTTTATTGTCTCTCCGGAACCCTGAGCAACGTCTAACACATTAAATATGATCTACACATAATTGAATGGATGATTCTATTCCAGTTCCAACTCAATTTACCCAAGAGAAAACAGAATCCAAAGAGTAGGATCGTAGCCAAGACTGGAACTCCTCTTGTGCATTTTTGTGTTCCCTTCCTCCTAATCCTCAGAAATCAGCTTCTCCAGGCTTTTAGGATTAAATTAGATAGGCTAGAAAACTTTGTAATCCAGGCGTTAAAACATGCTGCTTCTTTCAGGTGCCATCGAGTCGGCTCCCACCCATAAAGACTCAATGTGTGACAGAACCAAACCCTACTGGATGCTGCCCCATCCTCACAATCTCCCTTGTACTTAAGCCTGCTAAGTCGTCCACTGCGTCAATTCATTTCCTTGAGGATCTTCCTCTTCTCTGCTGACTCACTCCTTTTCCAAACATGATGCCCTTTACAAGGGACTGGCCCATAGTAGATGTTAAAAAGTGTGTTTCAGTTCCTTTCTCATTGTGCCCTTGGGCCTTCTCTTCTAGTTCTCCATAAGCCAATGCCACACATCAAAATGTTTTTTTTCCCACCCCTTCTTGCCCCTCCCTCAGATGCACCATGTGTTTATTTAGGCATTAAGAGGACCACAAAGGGACTATGTTGGACGATAACCAACAGGCCTCTTCTAAGAGGTTAATCCTCCCATGTGCATTCATGTAATCAGTGGATCCCTGGCTCCTGTTTGCTCTAAGGGGATGTTTAGGGACCACAGGACAAAAGGGGAGCATTCCCTAAGGGCTGTGTCTCTGAGCCTCTCTTGCTTCTCTTTCCCACAGTGGCAGATGAAGTGCTGCAAGTGCGACTCCAGGCTGCCTCACAATTACAACAGTCACCGCGTGGAGAATGTGGCTTCATACTCCGGCCCCGTGCGCTGGTGGCAGTCCCAGAATGGTGAGGCCCTGCCACCTACAGGGACCCAAATTTCTGACAGCTTCCACAGGGTGGAGGTGGATGGCAGGGACCCAGGATGCTTTGGGCTTCCCAGATATTTCTTACTATGGTGAGACAAAGGCAGTGAACAACGACCTCTGTGATTGTTGTCTGCCAGAAAATGTTGTTAGAAGAGTTTGTGGGGAGGGTTTGAATAAAAATGAAAGAATTTTTTCTTTTACTTTTCAAAGAGAAAAGCTGACTGGGGGTGAGGAGGTGCAACAATGAATGAACGGAAATCCAAAGTCTCTGTAAACTTTCATTAAAATCAATTAAAAAAAAGAAGAGTTTGTTAGAGTTCAAGAAAAAAGTGTAAGAAGATAGGAATGACTTTATTTCACTAGATTTAATTACAGGAATTGAGCTTTGAGAAGAGAACTAAACAAATTGAAACCTTTCAAAGTATTAATGGTGTCAAATAATGCTAGGAGGAAAATTTCACCAAGAATAGAAAGCCTTGAATAGGTTGCAAAATAGAAACATACTGTTGTCCTTCTTTTCCAGAGGAGAAATCAGAGAGTCACAGAGAGTTTATTTTCCTTCTAGAACCAGTATTGTTCATGCTTTCTCAGGGCTGGGATGGTGGAAAGTCCTGGGTCTCAAGCTATGACTTTTTGTCCTTCCAGATGTGAACCCTGTCTCTCTACAGTTGGACCTAGACAAGAAGTTCCAGCTTCAGATTATCATGATGAATTTTAAGGTGTGTTTCCTGAGAAGGGGAGTGGGTGGAGCCATGAGGAGTTAGACGATGGAGGAGCACAACGTCCTGGTCTCCTTAGGCCAGGTGTGATGGCGTCATGTGCTGGGTGGACCTCCCTTCCCCAGGCTGGCAGTCCAATCACCCTGAGCCTAAATCAAGGTGAGAGGAGAGGCCCCACTGTGCGGAGAACAGCAATACCTTTCAAATCTCTGTCTTGGTTGTGCAGTAATTTTACATCCTCTTTGTGCACTCCCTTCCCCTTACTCCATCTAAATAATTCAGCTCTGCAAATTACCAGTTTTAGTAGGCCTGGTTGCTTATTATGGAGTACCTAGGTGGTGTAATTAACACTCAGCTACTTCCTAATAGTGCAAGTATGAGGCTACCCAAAGATATGTCAGAATAAAGATCCGAACAATCTGCCTATGAAAACTCTGTGGAATTTAGTTCTACTCTAATGTACACGGGTCCACCCTTGAGTTGGAATCAGCTTGACAGCAGTTATTTTTGTGGTTGTTATTGGTAGACTCTTTCCATGAGTTTGCAGATAGTCAGTTGTCCAAAGGAGTCCTGACGTGTCATCACGTGTGAGCTAGAATGGACCTTGGCGACCTCGAGTTTAACACTCAGCCGTGAACTTGCCCAGCCACATGTAAGAGATGCTGTGGGGCCAGCAGTGTACCCATTTGGTGTGATTACTTCTCGAAGTGCTTTGATAACAGTTCTCTGATAGTTTCCTTATGGAGGAAACATTTTCACTCATTTATAGCATTTGATCATTTATCTCTCCAGAGATGAGTCTTTCTACAAAAATGATCAACTATTTAGGCATTGAGATTGGTTAATAAAATTAGGTGTTCAGGAAGTTGTTGATGTTGTTACGTACAATTGAGTTAGAACCGACTCACAGCTGCCTCTCGAGGGGGTTTTGAGACATAGTTAATCACATGGGAGGAGACTGTCCCTCTTTCTCCCACAGAGCAGCTGGTGGATTCAAATCATGTGCCCTCGGGATTATAGTGCAGCTTCTACCACTACCTCGCCAGAATAATCTACTCATTTGGTGGTATCACTCCTCAAAGTGCTTTCATAATTGTTCTGGAAGGGTGTCTTACTTTTCAAGAGTTAAATGAGGAAACACCAAACTGCCTTCTAGAGAAGTTATACCATTTTACAATCCCACCAACAATGTATAAGAGAAATTCCATATTACCCAGGTATTCCACTGCTTGGAACATACCCCATGAAAATGAGGACTGAGGCACAAATAGAAACTTGAACAACAATGTTCACAGCAGCGTTATTCCCATTCCAAGAACACAGAAAGAGCCCAAGTGCCCAACCACAACTGAATGGATTGAGAAATTATGGTACATTTACATAGTGGAATATTACACAGCATGTAGGAACAATGATTTTGTAGAGAACTGCCTAACTTGGAAGGGACTAGAGAGCATTATGCTAAGTGAACCAACTCAATCTCATGAGGACAAATACCATATAAGACCATTATTATAGAAATAGGTTACTAGTAAAACGTGTATGAGGCTCTAAGGGGGGGGGAGAAGCAAAGGGTTACGGATGGATGGGGGTGGGGGGTGGTAATCTTAGGGTCGTACAATTTGATGGGTGGAGGGAAAGGTAGGTTAAGGAAATGGGAAAGATCCAGAGACAGACAGACAGACACACACAGAAAGAGAGAGAGAGTGTGTGTTAAAATAAGCTTTGGCCAAAAAGTAATAGGACCTATGTTCTTACTTGACTGAAGAGTTTGGCTCTAAGAGACTTGTCCCAAGAAAAGGTCGAAAGTATTTTGAGAAAAGCTGGTATCGTTTGAACGAATTCCCAGCCTTGCAAGGTGAGAACTTGGAAGGGCACCGGTAATTTGGATGGGTACTGTTAAACATTCATTGCTTTACCACTCATGTCCATTCATGCTACACATTGGACTCTAACTATATATTAGATTTGGTGCCAGACCTTAGAAAAACAAATCATCCTTATGTTGCTTTATATTTAGGAAGGACAGATCAAGACATAGTAGTAGGAGACTATGATGAGGCCTCTGGATTTAGAAAGACGTTCTAAGGACAAAGGAGGGGCAGCTGGGTTAGTCTGTCTTGGGGGATCAGATAATACAGCCAGGGGAAGATGAACCTTCATTGCTGTTTGTAATAGCAAAGTCAAACTCAATCTTTTCAAAGAGAACATCAAATATAAAGGCTAGGAGAGAGAGACAACAAGGTGTATGATTTGGCATGAGATAAGGGACTTACATAGAGTCTGGAAGGTAAAAAAAAAATAATGCATGTATGGTGGTGTCAGAGTAGGTATTAGAGGGCTTCAGACTGCTGAGATACGAGAGTTGGACAGAAGAGTTCAAAAGGCAACTTGTGAAGATAAAGCAAAGTATTGTAACAAAATGTGCAAAGACCTGGAGTTGGAAAACCAAAAGAGAAGAACTCATTTGGCATTTCTCAAGCCGAGAGAACTGAAGAACAAATGCAGACCTTGAGTTGCAATGCTGAAGGATGCTATGGGCAAAATATGAAATTATCCAGGAAGCATCAAAAGGATATAGGATGAATGCATAGAGTCACTGTACCAAAAAGAATTGGCTGACACGAAACTGTTTCAGGAAGTAGCAGATGATCAAGAACCAATAGTAATAAAGGAAGAAGTTTAAGCTTCTCTGAAGGCATTGGCAAAAAAAAAAAAAAAAAGAATGAGGCCCCAGGAACTGAAGGAGTACAAACTGGTATATTTCAACAGATAGATGCAACCCTGAACGTGCTTGCCAGGTTGTACCAAGAAATCTGGAGACTACTTACCTGGCCAAGTGATTGGAATATATCCATGTTTATTGATCCAAAATAACATGGAAATTATTTATTTAACAATATCATTAATATCACATGTAAGCAGAAACTTGCTGAAGATTATCCAAAATGTCTAGAACAAGTCGTTGACGGAACTTCCAGAAATAAAAGCTAGATTTGGAAGGGGCTCTGACACTAAGGCTATCATTGCTGACGTCAGATGTTTCTTAGCTGAAAACATAGAGTAGCAGAAGGATGTCTACTTGTGTTTTATCTACTAAGCAAAGGCATTTGATTGTGTGGATCATAGCAAATTATGGCTAACATTGAGAAGAATTGGAATCCCAGAACACTTGACTGTGCTCATGTGAAACCTTTACCTAGAGCAAGAAGCTGTTGTACAAACACAGCAAAGGAACACTGGCTTCATGGCTCAAAATCAAGCAAAAAAAGTACTTCAGGGATGTGTCATTTACCTTTCCAAATTATATGCTGAATAGATCATTTGAGAAGCTGAACTCTTTGAAGAAGAGTGTGGCATCAGGATTGGAGGAAGACTCACCAACAACCGATGTTATGCAGATGACATGACCCTGCTCACCAAATGTGAGGAAGACTTGAAGTGCTTGCTGCAGAAAAACAACAACAACAA